TGGATTCATTTATTCCCGGGGTTCTTATCTGTGGAGAGATTAATTATTATTGTTGTGGTTTTGCAAGGAAAGAAAGAGAAGCACCACCCGTGCATGTGGAAACTATCCATGGCACAACACCGATCGCAACGGGAGGAAGTAAACTCGTATTGGTAGCCAGCTCAACCTTGTTCTTTAGAGCCGAGTGGGATTGAGGTCGCTCTGCTTTGGTTTTGCAGCAAAGTCGCGAGAAGTACATAGAAGAGGCGGAGAGAGAGAGAGAGAGATAACACCCTCCCCAGACCGACTTTCATAGCTCGATTGCTGCACGACCAGGTGGTTGGGTGCGGAAAAGAGCCGAAAGAGCCCGATACGTCTACGGAAAGCCCTCGACAAGGATGTTTACAAAACCGCCATTTGTGGTGTTGCCACAAGCTTGGTCGTGGAGCGGTACAGCTTCGGAAATCGGTCTAGTTGGCGGTGCCATCTCTCCGCCTCTTCCGGTAGTCCACTATTTAGCGGCATGCTATGCGGGCACAGCAGTTGTGCCTCGCTCGGGAAAACGGGGAGCCCTAGTACAAACACCTGTACCGCCGATCGGTGTGTTTGGCTGCCATGCCTTTATTCACAACACTATCTCGAGAACCTTTTCCATGATTACGAGAAAGAGTTAGCCTTCGTGTTCAACGCCACGAGGTGTACGCGCCGCTCGTGAACATTGTTGCCCCCTACACCGCCGATCCTGTGAACTATAATAATGGTCTTCGAGCCATCCACCCCCGGGAGGAAGAAGCCCGTACCATCGCTTACTACAGTGCGGGTGCCCTCGTTAGTGCGGGTGTGTGCCACGCACTTTGACCTGCACTTATAGCGGGACCCGGCACTGTTGAATGTATGAGCCATCTTTGGTATTCCATCTGTCCCAGCGATTAGTGTAGTCGGGTGCCCTCAATAGTGCGGGTGCGTGCCACGCGCTTTCGCCCGCACTAAAGCGGGCACCCGCACTGCGCAACGTATCAACTGTCTTGATTATCCCATCTGTCCCAGCGATTAATGCAGTGCGACGCGCTTTGACCCGCACTATGGCGGGCACCGGCACTGCTCAATGTAAACAATCTTGATTATTCCATCCGTGCCAGCCCATTTCACGTTCATTCCAGAGGGCACGCCGACTGCTGTCTCTACGTTCGCGAACAGACGGCGGTGCCCGTGTTGGTCTGTTCTTGTGCCGCCTCCTATCCCTCCCGTCGCCACCGCTCACCCCGTTCCGGCTGTTCACCATCTCTTTGCGACCGTCCGCGCCATGGTGCATACCGCCTCTCCACCTACCTACCTTTTTTCGGGCACGTTTGGCGGGGGATGAAATCGGCCTGAAACCGGCGTCGGTGGTCAACGGTGTCGATGATTGATCTTGGGGTACGGTACAACAGAAGCAGTCGAACTTCATGCAGGACGCGAAACAAGGCGACACGATCTGCCTTGGGACGGATGGGCAGGGCTGCGGAACCGTCGTGCAGGATCACAAGGCGAGAAGGAGGGGAGGGGGGGGGGTACTCATGTTTTGCGTGCCGTAGTCGTTAGACCAGCGTCCTCGCATCCTTGCAAAGCCGGGGCGGAGCGATATGCCGGGTTTCCGCCGGACCAGGCTCTCACATCACCAAATGCGAAGCGCCTTGAGGCATTGGGCGGACGGGGGGGGGCGGGGGAGTAGAACGATGGCGAGTGCGCACAAGGGCTTTGTTTGACAAAAGCACTCCCGAACTCGAGACACACCGCAGGCGCATTCACTCGAAGGCGGGTTCTTGTTTCTTTTTTTTGTTGTCTCCCTGAAAGCCATTAGTGGGCCGCGTAAAGCGCGGCCTATTCTTTAAATAGTGAAAGAATCGCGTTGTACGTTCCAGGAGACGTGATGGGCTGCTGACCATCGTCCTTTTTACGAAGCAGCTGATGAATGTGTGGGCAATGCAGCAAGGTTGTGGTGTGTGCTTTGGGGTAGAGAGTGGCGGGAGATAGGTCTTCTGTAACACCGGGCGCGCACAGTCTCTGCGTTGGGACCGGGCATCCCATTGGTTGTCTTACCCTCGTCGCGACTCAAGCACATCCCGGCATGATCTAAGTGTAGTCGACAGAGCATTCTTCCTTTATTTGTTCGAAGCATTGTTCTTTTTCCTGATGGTGTTTGCAACCACACCTGCTATCTTCCCGTACGGCCCCGTTCGGGAAAGCCGTGCATCCCAGCGGCAATCACAAGCCTCATTCATTTTGGGTGTTTTCTTCTCACAGCTTCTGCTGTACAGGAATTTCCCTACAACAACGTTGAACAAAAAGAGCAAAACAATACCACACCGCACTTTTTGTAGGTCCACGAGGGCAGCATGTACCGCAAGTTCGAGGGCGAGGCGGACCGGAGCCACCACGGTCCCGCGCCGAACCGCCTCTACTCCACCGCGCACAACATGCGCACCTGGATCAGCGAAGGGAAGGCAAGATTGAGTAGAAGTAGATATTTCCTGATGAGGTGCGCCTTCTTTCGTCAAGCCGGCTGGCTACCGTTGTGTCGCCCGGCGGTGTTGGGGGGGGGGGGGGTTGCGCCGTTCTCGTGGCGCGGGCACGTGTGGCAGTTTGTTCCGAACGCCTGGCGGTTATTTTCGTACCGACTGCTTCTGTGATTTGTTGCTGAGTTACTCCACGCGGCCTGATTTTGCTCGGACTCTCTTGTGTGTGTGGCTGTTGGTCTGTGCTCGGGACGTGAAACAGGACGACGTGTTTTTTCTCGGCCTTCTTTGGGTGTGGTGTTTTTTTTTTTATCGTTTCTTGATGATGAAGTTGCGGATGCGCCTTGGCCGGAAGCAGGATGCCGTGTTGTGCCTTGGCTCTCGTGTGTGTGTGGCAATTGTTGTTGTTAGTTGGGGTCGCTTCTTGATTATTTATGTGCCGGTTGGGTTGGCAGTTGTGTTGTTATTGGTTGGTTGGGTGACATTTCGTGATGATGACGATATGATGATTTCGCTGCTGCTGTGCCCCGGGGATGGACGGAGAGCAGGACGCAAACAGGCTGCGGAACCTAGCGGAGGATGTGGAGATGGGCCTCAGCACCGTGGGCAAGGTGCGCGACTGACCGAAAACAGCAACGTACTGGTACTTCCTTACCAACGAGAGACGAAGCGTCAGCGTCGTGTGCGTTACGCCAATCCCTCGCTTCAATTCTCGTAAGTTTTCGGATCTTTGTTTGCTTTGGGGGGAGGAAGACGTGCGTCGCTGGGGGCGGGGAGAGGGTTTTACCAGTGCAGCACATGTGAGTCCATGATCGATTGCCTCCCGCCCCCAAGTACTCGCGCCCTCTCGGGTTTTTTTCGCCTCTATTTGCGATTGCTCGCGGACAATTTTGTATGCTGTGTTATGTTTTGATGTGTTCATAGGCAGGAGACTGTGCTGTGACTCTCTTTTTCGGGGGTTGATGCCATTGCCCCCATGTGCGGCCACTGGCGTTATAGCAACGCGACGGGAGTGAATACTGCGGTGTGATCTGGGCGAGATCGCATCAGAGAAGAGGCTGGACTACTTCATCTTTATCAGAACGTTGGGCGTGCGTGCCGCACGGGAAGAGTCAGCTAGTTTCGCTCCTAGCCGCTCTTTCTTTTCGGAGATCAAGAACTTCGCCCCGCCCCTGTGTGAATCCACACGCGACATGCCAACCCGCGAAAATTCGCGGATAACCCGTCACCCCGTTGCCGCCGTCGGAAAAAAACGAAACGAAAAAACATACCACTCGGGTCGGGTACACCATGAACAGGACGAGCGCAAGACTAGGACGGCGTACAAGGACAAGATGAAGAGGGAAGCGTTCGACTTGATCAACCACATCGCGGGCAACTGCGACCTCCACGAGACGGTGACCGTGAGGGCGAAGGAGCTGTTCGCCGGCTGGCGTAACGTCAAGTGAGTTTTTGAAGGGAGGGGGGGTGGCGTGTGCAGCCAGGGAGAGCAAGAAGAGCGGGGCAAGGACGACGAAGATTACATGCTGCTTGTTGTTGTCATTGTGCTGCCGTCTCGAATCGTGTCTCAGTATGCATAGGGAACACGTGCACCGTCACAGGGCTAAGCAGCACCTGTTTCGTGATCCTTGGCTGTTGCTGTTCATGTGTTGTTGCCGTCTGTTCGTAATCGATTGGCTTCGTAGTACATAGGAAAACACGTGTGCACCATCACGAAGCAAGAACAGCACCTGTTTTAGTGATTCCATGTTTACGTGATGACCCTGTCCTTTGTGTCTGTTCGAAATCGATTCGTTTCGTTCTTAGGGAACACGTGCACCAGAAATTCGCGGTGATCTGCGCGTGCATCATCGCCGCCTACCGGGAGGTGGGGACGGAGGAGCTGACGAGGATGTTCGACCTCCGACGACAGCAGCAGCTGCAGCAAGGCCTGGAGCAGGTGGGAGGGGCGAGAGGAGCGGGGGGGGGGGGGGGGGGGGGGGGTACTAATTCTGCCAGAGAGGTGGCGGGGGGGCCCCCATTTGGAAATTTGGAAAAGGGGGGGCCCAAAAAGGGGAACAAAGG